TTGACAGCACGGCAAAGTCTGCTAAACACTGATCCAATATCGCTTCCTTTCTCCATGCTGATGATACGAAGCTGATCTTCTTCATTGACCCATACAAGGAAGGTCTTGTCATTGTTGTGGTAGATTCCTCTTCCTTCAGGCCATTCCTTGTTAATGCCAGCAGCTTCCAAGAAGCGATCCCCTTTCTTGAACAAGAAATGGTCATCTACAAGTTGTTGCCTTGTCTTCTCATCCATGCCAGAAAGTGGGTAATATGTCCCAGCCAAGTCACCAGTCAAGGAGTTCAGAACGTCTACCACCTTGAAAAACAGAGATAAAATTAAGCTTTTGAAGAATGCAAATTTAAATTGACTCATCGCGGAAGACATGAAGCATCAGTAAAATCAACATGCTACCACTTGTGCGTTGCCGATTGCCACGTCACCAATTGCCTTTCAAACTTAAAGAAGGAATAACTGCACTGAGCAGGTACATGCGGTTCATGGTTGGTTACATACTCGGGAACCCAGAATTTTAGTGGTGCAAAGTGAAACCAGGTAAAGCTGTTCTTGAGAGAGAGCAAATAATAAACCTTTTGTGACTCCAATAATGTACCCTTTTCAAAAAGAACATGCATGCAAGGGTAACATGAAAATGCAAACGAAATCTTCCTTTTTTCGATTGTGACATTTCTTTTGTCAGTGTTTTCATGTTAGCCTCGCATTCAAAACATTTTTTWAAAAATCCATTTGGATACATCCTAGTCTAGCTTCTACTGTACAAACAACACTTGCACTGCTTATTTATGTGGTGTTGTTTGTACAGTTTTCATAAATAAGACATGATGATCATGAACAAAAGTTTGTTCCCAAGCTAAACCACAATGCACCATCTTCGTTAGAACATTCATGCGGATACTTCACCTTTTTCTCCAATTCTTTCCGTTCTTCTTTTCCAAGAGTGGGTGTCAGGCCATACCCCTTGAGATTCCTCGCAACACGAATACGTGTAGATCGTATAAACTTATTCTCAGGATCCACGTTTGGTGCATCAATTTTCTCTGGGTTCATGTCAGAAACATGACCATCTGCAAGCTTGTACGGAGAATGGTAATCCTCGATGATTTTATCAAAAAGTTCTGCAAACTCTTTGTAGCTCTCTTCGTCCCCAGCATAGACACCAGTGCCAGAGTCCAGGTTTTCGACTCCGGAGTTAATGCAGTCCCATAGTGTCACCCCTCGAGGCGTCTTCTTGTCCTTTAGGGACTCGAACAATTCCCGAGTAAGGTATTTGCGCACGAGACTTTTTGGGTTGGCTTTGTCGCTTAGGAGTGGTTCAGGAAACTTGTTCTCGTCTCTCAGTCTTGAATGATAAAACAGATATGAACATCAGTGAGGTAAGTGACAATGGTCAATCTTGGGGAAAGACAAAATGACACGTGTTCTGAATTGGGAAAGCATTAATTAGACGAAGCTGAAAAGTTATTTTACTAACGAAATTTGCTGAGATACTTCAGAATAAACGTAATGCAACCCCTGATCCATCCTGGATCCGCTCCTAAATTTTATCCATATCTTACCGTTTGCATTCTTTCGCCATCGGGGTATCCCCACCACTGTAGTATATGAAAAGAAAATAAATTAAAATTAATACCTTAACATTTCGAAAGCTAACATTGTTCGTTTTAGAATATCAACTGAAAATATATTATATTCCCCACATTTATTGCAGCGTGCCTCTCATCAGACACGTGTCATAGGCGGGTTGTTAGTCCGTCAGTCGTAAGACACTGGTCGATTGTAAGAATGCACTGTGGCTTCCCCCATATTACTATATTATTTGTAAGGGTGATTTTCAATTCCACTCGTTCAAATCAGGGTATGGATCAGTTTTCTATTGATTTAGTAAGTGGGTGCCCTTTTTACTAATGAAATGAATATCCATTAAGCCAGCACAGTGGCGTATCCGGGGGGGGTGGGGGTGGGGGGGTCGAAGGGGTCCACGGAGGCCCCCTTGAGGGTTTGATCTTTTAGGTAATAGAAATATGTCTTATCTATAAATTTTGCTTAAAAGTTTCCACAAAGATAATGTTGAACACGAAATGATAGATATTTGCTGTTATAATGTTTAATTTACCTTTAAGTTCCTTTTAGAGCCTTTTTTTTGTCAAACATCGATTAAACAAAAGAGTTATATACACTTTAAGAAACGGAACCCCCCTTTGAAAAATCCTGGATCCGCCACTGCAGCACCAAGTCCTGTTAAGCACCAAGTCCTGTTCGCTTACACATTCATGGAAACAAATACTTTTTTCAATCAAATATAAATCATTTTTATGTGTTTTGGCATCTGAGGATCGGAGGAGACCGATTAAAACTGTTCAAATGAAATAAAAGTCACACTGACATTTGTAAAAACATTTAAACTACAGATTCATATGACGTTAATTATTATAAAAATGAACTAAAGAGCATAAGCACGAAACGAAGTAATCCGATCAGAAAATTAGCATACTTGAAATTGAGTGACTTTTTAATAAATCTCTTACACAAACACTTAATCCTCACTTTGTCATGACAAACATTTAAGTGTTTGTGTTTTAATGTTTATGTCTATCAATATTTCGTTTCTAAGCAACAAGAAAAATTATCACAATAATATCGTGTAACTTTTTCGGTTCCAGTTGAGTTTAAAAGACCTTAAAATGATCAAAAAGCGTGAATATAAAACTGGAAGGCTATCTTTCATGGAAAATTCTCCGAGTTTGGGATTTTAATGCAAAAGTTTGAAATAAAAATTAATTGATTTGCGAACAACACCTTATTATATTTTTCATACAAATGTAAAAATTAGCGAGTTTACAGTTTTATTTAATGAATTTGTTATTTTTTTGAAAAGATATACTTAGATTTACGACATTTTTTTACGTACCACAGTGAAACCAATGAGAAACGGGTTAATATTCGTAGTCACTAGACAACCCCGACTCAAACCATACAGGGCTAGCTAATCATGGAGTATTTTTAAGATGCCATATTATCTCAATGCACAGATGCACTGATGCCTAATTATAAGAAAACTAGTCTACACAAGCCATAAACGATCATACCTTTTCTTTTTTTTGGATGGAAAAAGACCCATAATTCAGGAAAGAGGATTGGACGTTAAGTGCAAAGGAAGTGTAGAGTTCGGCGGGCCAAGACTCGATGGAGTAAGAAATGATGAAACGGCTACTCGTCGTACGGAAGACTGGACACATTTGCATGATTTATATCATTGCATTGTTAACCAGATTAAATTCACATACAAAAAATTCCGATAAAAGTCAACCAATGGCAAGAATTACGAAGATATACAAGGAAATAACATCTAAAATAAATTGGTAAGAAAAAAGAGAATGGCCCTTATTTAACTGCAAGACCATAAATACTTTTTTCGACGTTTTTTCGCGGCGTTAATAAGAAATTCTTTTGTGGTAGTGGCTTTTCACTTCAACCGAGAGTGCAAAATTTTACATGATGCAATTAAAAGGTTTCCATAGAGAGGGCCATGAAATATGAAGATAATTTTTCTGGGCTAAATCTATTGATAATTAGGAGTTTGGTTGGCCGGCATTTATAAAGGAATCCTCACATGTAATGGGAAATGGTAATTCATTTCTAGGACCAATTAGCTTAGAGCAGCTTAAAGCATAGGCCAACAATTTGTCAGTGATTGACCAAAATTTCAAGCTTTTTGGGGAATGATTACCTGGCTTGTATGTAATCAAGAAACAAACGTTTGTGGATAATTTATTCGATGGGGGAGAGAGAGGAAATGGGGATTGTGTCGGGTACCGGTCCGGTAATGATTAAGAAGGGCAAACGAACTTGGTTTAAAACCAAAGACTAAAATAATATAGTAATTTATTTATTTACTTACTCTATTTATTTAAAAATATGTAATGTTCGAGCGGGGTCCAACACAAACATTATTTTAAAATTAAAAATCCCCATAGCCCCATATCCCATAAACTTTGAACGTTTCTAATCCATCGCTCAGTGTCCCAGCTAATTTGGTCGTTACACAAATATTTTTGATGAACCTCTGAAAACTAAATGTTCATTATATATGAAAAACTCTGGAACTTAAAAATCTCGATGAAAATTGTAGATCGAAGACGGCAAACAGGAAATGATACGCTTTTTGCTGACCCGCCGTCTGAAGCTCCGCGGTACGTGTTGAAAAAGAGAAAAATCCTCGGCYAATGAGCTTTTTAACTATAAGGTATTTTTTTAGATTCACGGTCGACAACAACAGAAAAATGATTTCCAATGCAGGAATATTAAAATTAGTTGAAGTTTGAATGAAATAACTGAGTTCAAAACTCGCGAAGATGCGATATTTTTTTTCAAATCAGTTTTGTCAACAACTGAGTGTTATCATACAAAATTTCGATTTTCGAAATTAATATCTTCCGGCGAGTTTTGAGCCGACTTCCTCCAAACCCCACATTTTTTAATATTAATTTTTACAGCTATGATATTCTTCTGTCCTGTAAGTTTTAGAGACCCTTGAAATGGCGATGATAAAAGCTTATTGCAATGTTGATAAAGTCTTTTCTTTCTACGCATTGTAAAGCTTTCAAGGACGCTTTTTTATGGATCGATTAAGCAATCTTTGATTGACCCTGGCCGGCCCTGTTAAAGTCAGATAGAGTTGTAAAAAGACACTTGAGAGACCGAAGCGAAAAGTCCCGTAATCCAATGATTTGTTTTCTGTTGTCATGACAACTCTTACAGCAATAAACTTAAATAACTCACAGAGGTAATGATAACCTTAAAATACTTCTCGTACGACGATAAAAATACATTCTACCTTTGAAAGAAGGCAATATTTGAGTCGGCCAACTTTTTAAGAATTTTCTGTCAAGATTAAAAAATGAAAATATTGCCCCAAATCGAACTAAACTTTGCATTATCGAAAACAAAAGCTCCTTGGAATCTTCACCGAGCGCCAAGAGCAATTGTTTGCTAACGTGGGTTAGATATGACTCTGATATTTTTATTTTTCCATCCTGAAATTCTCTTGAATGTTGCTCCAGAAATATTGGAGGAGAAGTATAGCTTTCTAAAAGTGTACAAGACTCTTCATTCAAGCTATTTAGAGGACCACTTTTAATGAAAACCCAGAAACTATATGACCGAGTCACGAACGACAAACAAACAAAGTTTTTAAAGCAAACACACAGTAGAAATTTGTACTTTCAAGAGCATTTCACTGGTGCCAGAGCTTTCAGAAAATTAAATATCCTCAAATTTGAATTCCCACTGCTGGAGCCGTTAAAATGTATATTGATGTACTATTTATCTCATTTTGGGATTTGATAGAATGGTATTCAAGGCCTTATAATACACGTGAACGTAGTCTCTTGATGTTACGATGACAGTGAAGGAAATACGTGGCTTCTAGAGCTACAGCCTAATTAGTATCGGTTCTACCTAGTTAGTTTTACTATAAAATAGCCTAAGGAAAAGTATACCGAAAATAAAAGCAAGCGAAACGATTTTTGATTGAATATTCGCCGACCACAAACGGGCTCAACCTAAGCATGATAACTTGACCTGACAGAGCCGATAATTTTAAATTTCCAAAAGTCCATTTAAGGCCTACTATGTCAAATATCACTGACAATATTTTGCCCTTGAGAGGCAATTGAAGCCTTTTTTTTTTTTTTCTTTTTTTCTCTCAAACGGTATTCAAGTTAACCTGGACATTCGATAATGCAGGTTATGAGTTTGAGCAACCTGAAACCGAGCGGTATTAAAATAAAGTGGTGTGGTGGGTTCGTGCCGGCCAGTTCACCCGCGAATGGAAGGACTTTGCCAGGACACCATTGTAAAAAGCTATGGTTTTGTTTAGTTTACGACTCAGCTGGTTTAACCAAGTGAAAGTGGTATCTCACGGCTTGAGCAATACACATATCGAGAGCTTAGTCGAGCAAGCTTTGGCTTCTCACAAAGATTCAAAAATTCATGCGGGGAAAAAACCTTTTAAAATTTGGTACCTGATTTGAGCTTTCGCCTTGTTTCTACTCGGAAATAAACCCATCTTTTGACGTCTGTGGAGGCACAAAGTATTAACTGGTACGACGCTTTTATCGTACGAAGAATAGTCCGGCCGCCTAGTCAAGAAAACCTTTACCAGCTCGGTTGACCTAGTGTGGGCTATGGTAATTTTGTCACCCCCATCTAGCGTGACAAGTCTTGGGGCACTCCGGTACAAACTAATTTGTATGCAGGTTTTGTCTCGAAACTGACAGCTTTGGTCGTCAATATAAGTGAAAAGGATTATAGAAGCAAGCCAGGGTTTGTTTTAATTTTCTCATAATGAATCTTGTTGAGAAACATCAGCTTTCTGTTTGGTAATGGTTTGGACGAGAAAARGTTACCAGGAAAAATGCAAGCTATGATGCTATCATGGGGAATCTCAGCAGCACAAAATAAATCATTAATCGAAACGATTATTTTTCAATAATATAGTAATGGTTTTGAACAAAAACACTTGAACATAGGGTCCAAATAATAGAAAAGAAGTGGCTTGATACCAAATGTCCCAAGACCTGACGTCTGTGCTGGACAAATCATTCGCGTTTCCTCTCAGAGGTACTGATTTACCTCAAAATGCATGATGACCTTCAAAGACATCCTATTTGAATATTGAAAGCAGTCTCAAAATTCTTACGTCCACAAGTATGAACGTCAGAAATTTCATTAGGTCATAAAAACCAGATATCCTATCAGCAAATGGGAAAAGGAACGCTGAATTTAATTTGAATAATTCACGAGCGACTAACATAAACATATGGCATGATAAGATGATAATATCAAAAGAGATTTGGACATTTTTGGTTTCATCTTGCAATAAAATAATGTGAAATAAATGGCATTTTGCTTGGTTTCTCTTTTGCTAGCAGTAACTTAAGAGTTGTAAATGAAAATGAGAGATTTCTTTAAGCAGACAAATCGAGGTCAACCGAATGAAACACAAATTGATTATACGTTTAATATTAATATTTTATGACATTTTTCAAACCTGGAAAACCTTCAGTTGTTGCATGCTCTGCTAATAAAACTGCTGCATTATCCTGCCTATTTTCTTGAAACATGTGCAACTTCGAAGACGGTCGGTCAGGGGAGTGACCTTGTTCAAACCGCCTGGCAGTGCTCAAATCAAAGATCTCCCTTGTTTGATACTGGATTAAAAAACATGTTTCTAGCTAAGATACCCATAAGATTCCAGGTAATTCTCAAAAATCCAAATGGAAGACTACCAATTCAAAACTTGCCGAAAATTAAACTCTTGGGTGAACTTGAAAGAGGAATCTACAGATACCTAATGCTGCGGCTGAAGTAAACTGTTCTATTGATATATTCACCTCAATCCGGCTTTTAGTCTCAACGTTTTGTCTCACCGAGTCGTTGTCAAAATCTCTCGAAGTAGACATGTATTTACTTGCAATTAAYGTTTATGAATGATCCTCTCATATAATATACTATGCGAATCATAACGAGAGTAATCGTAAACTTGAGCTAAACAATTAGGCAATACTTTAACTGATCAACACTGTACAACATTAACCCTCACAATCACCATATATTGGTAACTACGAGATGCAAGTGTGAGTTGCTATGGTATAAAGGGTGATATTCTTTGGTTATTTCAAACTCGAGTTCAACTGACAACACACCTGAGATATTTCGCAGTTTCAGTGAGGAGGTAGAGTGAGGTTTGCATTTTGCTTTTCAGATTCTTGATCACACCGGCTGGGAGTATTTTAGCGATCACCACAAAGGGACGCCTGGCTTAGTTGAACGTGAAATAACGCATGTTTATGTTAATCAGCAGCCGTTAAGTGAACCATGGAGACACTAGAGAAAAACGTTTGCGCATGCGTGCATTTCAGCACGTTTTCTAAGAACTTTGAAGAGTTTGAGTGAGAAAATAAATGTTTGTTTTCTCCAAGTATACAAAAAATTTCGCGAGTATACTACTACTTTTGTCAGACCAAGATACTGTATTAACAAACACAATATGAAAGAATTACCCTTACGTTTCATGCATGCATACTAAGTTTTGGCATTCATGAAGTCCAATTTATAAGGCATGCCTTGAAAGTCAAATTTACATATGTTTTGAGTAATTTGCATACGGATTTAGAGCAGTGTCAATCATGGTACCAATCTCGTATCGAGAGCCTGCGTCTCTTTTCAAGGATTTATATACAAAGAAATGTATGGAGCGAAGTTCGATGTTGAGTCTATGACGTCACAGACTCCAAAAATAATCGTAAAAATATCATACTTTCGTCCTGAATATCGAGAAAACACTTCATACAGTGATTATTGGACCTTTCAAGAGCATTCTTAGGAAGTTTCAGCTGAATCCAAATTTGAGCGATTTTCGTCAGAGTAGCACTTTAAAGTTTAATTCTATTCTATTTTATTTTATTCGTATTTGTTTATTTTGCGAATCCTAAGGATACATAGTCAGTTCCCCTGAAAGGTTTTTGCTCCTTCGGATTCTTCGGTTTTCATCTATCCGTAAATCGATGAATGATCGATGCTTTTTACAGCCGCCATGTTGGATAAATTTAACAAAAGACTCGTCGTTGGTCTCTTTTGACATGGTTGCAGTGTCTTTCGTTTTTTCTTTCTACGTTTAAACATTAAAAATTAAAGCCCATGCTAAAAAAGTCTCTCTCGAGATCTTGTTTTTCTTTATTGCAGTTTAATTTTAGATTGAATTCTCACGGGTTGCACTTCCTGCACTTCGGCAATAATGGTARCAAAACTAATAGATTTACAAAACAGTCAGTTGCAAAATTCTTTATGCGTCCTTTATGTTAGTAATGTCGAAGAAGTTTTTAAAAAATTGCTTTGACCAATCAAATGATTTTTTTGAGGTGTATATTAGACTTTGATTTATTGTAATCATTCTACTTATATATTTTATACTATTTTTGAGGGGGAGGGCCTTTATTCTAAAAGACTAGTTGTTTACACTCGTCAACCTCTTGCGCGTGCACAACAAAACAAAACATCAGTCTCAATAGGCCCTTTGCAGTTAACGGTCACGTGTCTGTACTGGAATGCAAAATTTTTGTTTTTATATTAAATTGGTGATTCTTTTTAGCTACTTGTAAAGAACTGAATGAAAACATGTGTATCCAGTGTGTTACGAAATGCACTTTTATTACGATCTCTCGAAACCGGTTGTAGAAAGTTTGTTTGCAGTCCAGTAAATTTCACCCATGGGAATCAAGATGTTCATTCATTTGCTCTCAGTGAATTAATCAGCATGTGATTGCTTAAGGTGACTGCCTACTTTTGGAAATTGATTTAAACTTTTTTTTAATCTTCGATTTTCCGAATTGAAATTTAATGCTGATTCCAACTCTGGAAAGAAAAATAGGGTGTTCAGAGCTCGTTTTCGAGATAATCAGCATTTAATGAAGCCTACGCATGAGCTTTTGGAGTAAAAATTGCGCCACCGGAAGTGATTAGAAAAAAAAAAAGATTAATAAGATAATAGTTATTTGCAGACTATATGATTGCACGAATAAAGGCTAGTCAATCATTCTACAATAATACATGGATATTTTCGACAAAAATACAAAAAAAATACATTGATTTGTCATATTTTGTAGTTTCGGTGCTCTTAAAAAATCTCATAAAGTCGAACAAAAATCCCTACAAAAATCTAATTTTTCATGTGTTACTGATTTAAACTTTTTTTAAATGTTGATATAACCTAGATTTTTAGGAGTTTTTTCGAATGAGCTATTAAAAAATAGAGAGTCCCGAGCAAAATTTGAGGGTTTTGCCCTGTTGAAGCTCAAAACACGTATGGTTCTTCAATAAAATCTTGTAGATTTTTCAGCGGTTTTTGAGCGCGCGCTCATCGTGGGCTCAATTCGAACGTTCAAAAGTAGGCAGACCTTAACTGCAAAGGGCCTATTCCATCCTCGCGCTCTAGGTGAGGTGAAGTGTAAAAATTGAAGTGAAGGAAAATACGTTGGGGAGACGGCAAGGAGCGCCTACACGCGTGGTAAAGAGCATTTGAAAGACATAGATAAGAATGATGGACAATCTGTGTTAGCCGAGACATGCTAGAGAGGATCATGAAGGAATAATCCCAAATTTCGTTATGAACGTAACTGGCGTTTACCATAATGATGCAATGTTGAGACAGATTGCTGAGTCTGTACGGATCAGAAAGGAAGGATACATCAATAACAAGACTGAGTGGAACTCTTTTCAATTGCCGCAGGCTGTATTTGAAAAATAGGTCGAGCGTGGTGTGTAGAGCGCGAGGATGGAATAATTGAGATGTTTTGTTTTGTTGTGCACGACGCGCAAGAGGTTGACGAATGTAAACAACGAATCGTTACTGTTCTAGCCAAACTGAAAAGGTTGTAACAGCGAAACTAGTTTTTAAGAGCGACTGTCCAGAAATATCGAGCAAAATCGAAAATTTGTGCCCACAATCAAAAAAATAAAAGTCCTTCATTTTTGGTCTGTAGACACTATTTGATGAACTAAATCCAATAAGTGTTTGTAAGCCGAGTTAAGATTCATGATAGTTTTGATTCATCAGCTTTTTAATTATAAATCAAGCCAAGATTTCGAGCATCTTGCTCTTCATCAGAGCTAACGGTTGTGACAGTTTTACAAGAAACACGCAACATAACAATATAACAAAACTATCATGAACTGTTTTGATGAGTTTATAAACGTACTGGGGTCGGTTTTTCGATCTACGTAAAAAATCCGGATTGCTCAAGAAACGGCTGTGAATTACGCTTTCAAAAACATTCTCGCTTCAAGTGAAAACCCAAGTTACAATCAAATTTGCAACTGAATTCAAGAAAAGGGGTGTTTAACAATTGTTCCAGGTGAATTTAGACGTTTTAATCTAAACTTTAGATAGAAAAAATTGCATTCTTCCAGCACAGTAATTCACAGTTTCGTAAAACACTGATTTTACCTCACATTTATAAAAGCGATTTTTTGCATGTGGCCATTCTCTAATTTTTACAAAACTCAAGCTGTACAATGTTTAAATGATAGAATAACACGAACTACAAAAATTAGTTTGGGTTTTTCCACAGGCCTTATGAAAACTTCATACGAAGTTGGAAAAATTTGCCATGTAAATATGAAACACACAACAGGAAGACCAATCAATTAATTTTTTTTTTCAGTAACGCATTGCACAGACTAAGAAAAGACTTAAGTCCACGCGAGCTCAGCCTGAGACAAGATACATGTACATATAAACTACATTTAGACAAAAATACATTAGAATATAAAATGAAAGTAAAGCTAAAACAATAAAATATACTAGAGGCGTCAGCGACAGCAAACAGCAGAGATATTAGTGGATCGGCATTTGGAACAAACGGTTTTATAAGATCTGACGATCAAGGCCAAAAGCGGAAAGCAAGAGAGAAGAATAGTGAAATCGCAGCATTGTTTTAAAAGATGAAACTGAAATAGAAGACTTAATCTTAGAGGGCAGCGAGTTCCACAAGAAAACAACGCGATTGAAAAAGGAATCCGCCTGAAGGTAGATGTTTTGCAAGAGTTAACCCTATAGTCTGTACTGAAAGTGCTTCTAGTAGATCTGAATGAAAGCGAGCATGGGCTAACATAATTAGATAGATCAATATTATTAATATTATTATTATTATTATTATTATTATTATTATTATTTAAGCGACACTTAAAATAATATAGTTTAGCCTGTCTTATGTACCACAGGAAGACCAATCAACAAATGTATTTTTATGAAGTGTGTTTTTGTCACTCGGTAAAGATCTATATGTTAAGTGTATGCTACATCGATTGTATAAGCAGATTTTTTAATCTGATTATACACCGATGTAGCATACACTTAACACTGATATAAATGTATTCTTGTTCGAGCGCCGCCATCTTAAAAAAGGCGAGAAGAGAAGGCAACGGGAACGAGGCTGCGCTCGACATTAACATTGAGCTTGGGATGCCTGTGGTTTGTAAGGTTTCTTGTATAAACACAAATCTGTAACAAAAGTCAAGATGGTGGATGTCTGCATTCCTGTCGTGGACTTTAGTCCTCTCTCTTTAGACAAAGATGACTTACTTTTTGATACAGATCAAAAAATACAAGAGTAGCCAGTCAGATTTGTGAAGCGTTCAGCAGTATTGGGTTTGTTTACCTGAAAAATCATGGCATTTCAAACGAAGAGGTATATAAAATTGGAGTTAATTATTAAAGCTAAATAATTTTTTTTTCATCCACTACTCGGTATTGCTGTGGTTGTGATGAATATTCCTGTGATTAATGTTAATTTGAAAGCTATTAACTTATCTGGTTGCGAAAAACCTTTTTTTAAACATGTCTTTTCTAATAAATCCGCTAGATAGCTAAAGTGAGAGAAGTAGTTGACAAGTTCTTTGGACTACCCGTAGAGGAAAAACAAAAGTGTGCCAGACCTACTGATGGTAGTGGTAATCATGGATGGGTTGCTTTAGAAAGAGAAAGGCATGTATAAAATTAAACCTTCTAATGGGCGTACTGTATATCACAAATGCTGCAAATCCTGGTTGAGCTTCTGGTGGACTATTACTGATAGACTATTAGCAACGAGACTGTTTTGAAAAGCAAAAAAAAAAAAAAACAACCAGATTCCAAATTATATTGTTTGTATTCATCAATTTGACTGTTTAGTATCGGTTTATTCTAAGACCTCTCTAACCCTCACAACCTACTAATAGGCTCATGGCCTATTTAGTTAATATTGTAAATCAATCATGTCCTGAATATAAAGCTGCATTCCTAAGCATACTTTGTCATTACTACGAAACACGATGCTGTCTTCATCAACATCTCCCAGCCATAGGTTTTGCTTCAAGAAACAACCAGTAAAAAAATAGGGAACAATATGAATATTTCCATTAGACTAGATTTGTAGAAAAGGTCGGTTTATTTTGCCTAGTAAATGAATATTTTCTGAGTGAAAATTTATCTTGTTGCTCTGYAATAAGGTCAAGTTGAAAAGTTGTATGACGTGCATTATGCAATGCAAAATTTCTTATTTCAAATTAATCACCCCTTTCTATTTCTAGAAAACAGGGTCTGCAGTTTTGACAGTCAGATCCCCTCCCTCCCCTCCCACTTTCACGATTCTAGGTCACTAGTTGGAGTTGGAAGCATCTAGGGGTGCAAAAACATATTTAGGTTAAACTGGAACTGGGAATAAGCTGATCCCCTATTTGTGAAATATAAGGAAACTTGGGAAAGGTTATATATTATAAAGATAAAATTAAATTTTGAAAAATAAATTAGTTTTGCAGAAATAATTAAACTTAAGTTTACTTTTTAATATTTTCCAATTAACAGCTTGAATCCAGAAAGACCAGCAGATTTAAAAGAAGCTTTTAATGTTGATAACACTGAATTTAAGAGTGAAAGTGGGCATGTGGGTACTGATTATATTTTATTTGTATTCATTCATCCATTCATTCATTCATCCATTCTTTCATTCATTTATCCATCCATCCATCCACCTACTCATCCATCTATCCCATCCATTCATCCATCCACTCATCCATTCATCCATCGACCAATGGCATCCATCCATTCATCCATCCATCCATCCATCCATCCATCCATCCATCCATCCATCCATCCATCCATCCATCCATCCATCCATCCATCCATNTCCATCCATCCATCCATCCATCCATCCATTCATCTATCCACTCATCCATTGACAATGCACCATGTTCACTATCTCAGAAAACACAAACTTTTATAATCCTATTTAGACAAACAAATTTATTTCTCTCAATAGAATTCAAAATGGCCAACAACTGCTGTTCCAGAGATGGAGTGTACTGTGAAAAACTTGTACRACCAATGTGCAAAACTTTCTTTCAGAATTCTTCAGGCCATTGGTATTGCTCTAAAAATAAAGGTAAAAATAAAAATAAAAATTCAARACCATTCAAGATTACTGACGTATCTCATATGGCCATGGTGCGGGGGCCATGTGGATTGTGAGTTTAAAAGCAACACCTAGGGGGAACTCCTCTTTAAAAACCTATTACTCAAAATACTACAATACTAACTTCTTATATATTGTATTTCATTAGCTGTATTATTAGTAATTAGGGTTTATGGATATATTTCTTGATTTGTCTTTTTGTTTTATTAACAGGGCTTTCTTTAAACTAGTTCTGATAAATGAGACATCCCTGTATAAATATTGTTGAAATAAATAAATAAATTTTGAGTTTGCCTTTGCCTTTGCTCAGTCTCTTTGTTTGTTTGTTTGTTTGGTTTGTTGGTTGGTTGGTTTATTTGTTTGATTGTTTATTTTTTTGTTTTATTTTTTTGTCATTAAACAGAATCCAAACTTGATTGCTGAATCCCATAGCCGTTTGGGAAAGGCTGGTAACTCCACTGCCATGCGCATCTTGTACTATCCCCCCATTCCTGACAGTTCAACAGTAAAGAAAGATCAAGTTCGTTGTGGCGAACACAGTGATTATGGATCTATTACTCTGCTTTTCCAGGATGACCTGGGTGGATTACAGGTACTATTTTTAGAGGCTTTGTACCATCACATGATGGCAGCCATGACACAAGGCAGGAACAATTGAATCTGGTCTCATCTGATTTACATGAAAAATATTCTATTGTTGTTCCCCCTGTCATGGCTGCCATGCATCATGGTGCAAAGCTTCTATAAATTACCTTTATAAATTAGGGAATTTGATAGGCAGTGACTGCAGAGAAAGAAGGGCTAGTGGTGGCATGGTGGGGTCAGGGGGGGGGAGAGTAGGAGAGAATTTGCCTCATCTTCACAATTGTTTCGCTAATGTCCACCAAATTTCAAGTTTTACCCCCCTAACATTCAGTCTTTACTACTAGTTTGTCTCAGCCCCCTAATTGCCTAATTTCAGACTTTACTTCAAATAAATCCTCCATTCTTTTAGTTGTTCTGTTAGGCTTCGGGAGAGAGGCTTCCCTTTGGCATCAAAGTATAAAACTTTCAGGGGGATATCTCAATGGGGTCAGAAACTCATAAGTTTCTGGGGGATGTTTTGAAGTCCTAACCAAATCCTGTAAAACTTCATCATGCTATGGAAATCAGTAGAGTGGTAAAACTGAGCCCACAAATCTGTACCGTGTGAAAGATTTTTCTCTATTGAACAAAATRATTGGGCAGGAAGGATTGGTACAAATAAAATTCCAGTGAGAGAGAATTTTTAACAGAGATTTTACCACTCTAGTAATTTCTATAGCATTAAGCTATTAATTATACAGCTTCTCATTAATCCCATATAGGGAACTGTCCAATTATTTTCTTAATTGGACAGGTCTTGTTGATATGGGATTAATTAGGCAGCTATATAAATAATAGGTAATGGGATTTCATGCTCCCCAATCAAGAAATAATTAGACTCAAAAAATTCCTCTGACTGCCAAATTGGACTCGGCCTACAGCCTCATCCAATTTTGTCAGTCCTCAGAATTTTCCTCATCCAATTATTTCTTAATTGGACAGCATGGAGTCCTATTACATATGCTAACAGGAAAGGAATCTGGATCTGTGAATTCTGTAAATTCTGTGAGATCTGACTTATAGTGGGGGAGTCTAACTTATTAAATTAAATGAGATAAAAGTTAAATGAGATATCCCAGTTTTATTTTTGATTCATTCTCACAGGTCCTACCAGTTGATGGAGAATATATTAATGCTCTGTCTATACCTGGCTGTGTCATAGTCAATATTGGTGATCTGATGCAGAGATGGACTTCTGACAAGCTACGATCAACAGTATGATCTTTATTAGCTATTCCAGTGCATTGTGGGGCTGTTTGAGGGGACATATTTCCAATGTGTTGTGGGCCAAATTGGAAACCAGTTCATTAATTATGTACTGAATTTGTAAGGGATTTACAAAACGTATACCAATTATACCAAATGTACTTCAAACCGGTGGTAAAACTAAATTTTAAAATGAAACAATCAATACAACAACCTTTTCAAGTTCCAACTTACCGCTGTGTTCCTTGATTACATACTCACTTACACAGGGTTAGCCTCACATCAGTGTCTAATTATTCACAAATACCAACAGTAAAATAAAGAATGCGCAGCTTCAACAATAAAAAAACACACGGACCTTCGCTGGAAATATAAATAGAGAGAACTTGAAACTGGAGCATTAAACCTCAGGTGCTGACTCTTTTTTTCTCTCGTTTCTCTCAATAGAAACATCGTGTTCTGATCCCTTCGGATGAAGTAGTTCGCAACAAGCCTCGCAGATCTCTGGCATTCTTTGTTCATCCCGATGATGATGTGTTGGTCGAGTGCCTGGATGGGTCGAACAAGTATCCTGGTATAACTGGTGAAGACTATCTTAAAGAGAGGTTTGCCGCCACATACAAAAGCGATTAACCAACTTGCAGGATTTTGGAATACACGCCATATAGAGTGATCTTTTAAATTTGAAATAGAGTCAAAACAAACTCCATCGTTTTCATTTGTTTTACTTGTCTGTAAGTCACTAATTATACAACATTGCTTCAAGGGCAAAGTAAAAAACCCATGAACCAATTGTCCTATTTCACTATGACGTCACTGCTTGTTTATGTGGGGGATAGAATCGCCAAATCCAATAGAAAATTCAACAAAATTTGCTCCTAGCGAAACAGTTTAATCTAAATTGGTCTGGTTTTCAGATATAATATGTGTTAATATGTACTCAAAAATATTCTGAGCGTTTGCTGGCTATTCTACTTCTCTTCGTGGATTGATACTGGTTTTAGAACAATTTTCGGTGAATATTTGCGTTGATTTGACCCCCTCCGACGACCATGATCCTTTGCGTTTAAACAATAGATTGTTTTGATGTGATGTCATAGTGAAATAGGGCAATTACTACCCTCGTAGCGCTTGGAGTGATTTTACTTTCGCCCGTGAAATAGAGTTGTATAGTTTAGTGACTGACAGTCAAAGCAAAATAAAAAAATCAATGGTCCTAAAATCTATAAGTTCTATTAAAGCTTTGACTGCTGTATCAGAGCGTAGGACAATCAGGCTCCAAACTAGGTGAAACCCCAAGATTGAATAGCGCAGCGCACTGATTCTAAAAATATCTTAAAGATTCGGATAAACATTGCATTCTGTTTAACCGCTACGAGGATTATACGAACCGATTTTATTATTTTTACTTAAAGTTACAATAATAACGCATGTAAACTAAGATCAAATGCGATCGGCTGTGAAAATTATCTGTTGAAAGTAAACTTGTAAGTTTGTTTGTCCGAATTTCGCCTTTGTCTTCGTTTTTATGACGTCACGGTTGCGCTGCGCTATTAGAATTTAGAAGTTGACTTTTGAAGACGGAGGAAAACYGGAGAACCCCAAAAAATTTCATTTTGACAAGAGATAAGAAAACAGCACCTCAGTACCATGAGTTGCACCATAGTTATTAGTCATGCGCAATTTAAGAATGAATTGAATAGTTTATATTATTCATTATATATTTTTATACCACTTATGTAACTGTTCTAAATCTTGCGTTCTGATAAGTTGGGAGCGTGTGCTTTATGAGAGCACACAGCACGTTCGCGTACTTTCAGATTCGTCATTCCTGTAATTTGTATTTTATAAAAGATATAAAAATCTTGCTTGCTGTGCTGTTTTAAAGCATGCGGGGATTGGCAGAACACGAGAGAAGTGTCGAAAAGCACTCCGCTATGCGTCGTACTTCTCCTGACACTTCTCTCGTGTTCTGCCAATCCCCGCGTGCTTTATAAGCGCACTCAGCACGCTTGCACTTTACGCGCGTAATTACAATACCGGCTCGCTAAGTAAATATAGATAATTGTATCTATCTATCTTTCTTTCTTTTTTAAACATATTTTATATAGTTAGATTATATGTTTATAAAGCAAATTTCAGTATTTGTCATTATCTTAATTATAAGAGATATAATAATTAATAAAATAAAGATAAAGTTACATTATCGGGGGGAAAAGTACAATAATAGGAAAAGGAAAAAGTTAAGTGAATAAAATGAAAGTAACTAAAGGTGGCAACATATCTGGTTTTTTTTTGTTTTTGTTTTTGTTTTTTAATCTTTTCAAAAGCGTAGGAAAAATTGTTCAGTTTATAATTTATACACTGCTGGTTGTGTATTACACCCGGGAGGGGGGGGGTTCTCCCCTATATTTGCTATACGGGTATGTGCCGCCCTATAGGGTATTGTTTTTTGGCTTTTGGGTCTGGGGTAGGGTATCATTTTTGGACATTTTGTCTGGGATAGGGTATCATTTTTGTCTGGCGAATAGGCTACGCTTTCTGCCGGCACAAAAACAATAAAAATGTTAGTAAATATYGATTGCAATCGATTGTAAAACCGTATTTTCTGGGGTAGGGTATGTAAAATCAAAATTTTAGGTCTGGGATAGGGTCAGGGTTTTGAGGTGCTGGCGGCACACCCCCACCCAAGTTGGGGTGGTAGTACAGCCGGATAATTTTACTCGTGAAGCTGAGCCCGGTTGTACGAAACCTGGATAGCGCTATCCAACGGATAAGTCTTATCCAGTGAATAAACTTATGGGATAACAGCATCRACTTATCCACTGGATAAGGATTTATCCGCCGGATAGGGCTATCCAGGCTTCGTACAACAGGGCTCATCTTCACGAGTAAAATTATCCGGCTGTATAACCACCCCAACTTTTCTATACGGTAGCCCATGCCATAGGGGACTAGTCTCTTCCCTAGCCGTCATTAGTTACGGTCCCAGTCCCAAATATATATCCTCAATAGCCCTGGGACCGAAACTAATGCGGAGGAGATTAATAAGGGACATGGTACCTTTTTTCTTAATGGATTTACTTCTAGCTAATTATTGAAAAATGGTTAAAAGGAAGGGTTTGTCAAATAATCTGGTAAAAAAAAAAAACAGCCCACGCAAATTCATTGTCTTTCACAGTCGAGCTTCTCTTTCAAATGACGTTTGAGACTAGGCTAACGAATCACACTGAACTGATTGAGTCTGATCTTGGAATTCACACTAGATGCCTATAAATATAGTCAAATTAAAATTTCGTAGAAACTCAAATTGTTGTTTCAGGGTTCGATCTGTGAGTTAGCCGTGCCCTGACTTAGATCAGCCCAGAGGTTGTTTCAGGGTTCAATCTGTGAGTTAGCCATGCCCTGACTTAGATCAGCCCAGAGGTCGTTTCAGGGTTCGATCTGTGAGTTAGCCGTGCCCTGACTTAGATCAGCCCAGTAGGTTGTTCGTTCAAATCGTTACCGGCGTATCAGTCTTTTGGACTATCATTGTTAAAGTGGCAGCCTGCTTAAACATCCTATTAATGGAGAACACTTACTAAAAACAATCTCTTGTTAATGTTCTGAAAGTTGGAGAAAAACATGCATCATTAGGCCCCGTCCACACCTATCCGGAAATTTTTGTATCCGCAATTTTTTTTTGCGGATACGAAAATGTTCGCTTTCACAAGCAGCGTATTCGAATCGTTTTCACCGTCCACACGTAACCGTTTTCGTAAAATTTGCGGATACGGATACAAAAATTTGCGGACACGCGTGGACGCGACCCGTATCCGCAAAAAAAATTTGAGGATACGTGTGGACGGGGCCTACGTCAAACTCGTAGTGTAATCTTTATTTTGAGAGCGATTTCCGTTTCATTAAGCGAACAAAACGCTGAATCTTGTTCTTATTCTCATAACTACTTCATTTGAATGAATTTATTTAAAAGCTTTTTTGGTTTTACTAGTGTGCATGTAAGGCTTAGTTTCCGCCCTGAAATAAAAGATGGGAAATTTGGGCAAGAGAAAGGCCGGACGACTGTGTTTTGTGTACCTAAAGAGCTCACCCCGCTAGAAATAATTAATTCAATATTGGTCGACAACAACGCTCTCGTACATTCCACAATGTTAACTTCGGGACAGGTTCAGCCAAATATCTGCATAAACACAATGACATTGAAGATGTTGTTATGTAAATATTCTCCCGAACTTAACCGTGTGGAACGACCGAGAGCGTTGTTGTCGACCGACGAGGTGAGCTCTTTAGGTACAGCTCACTTTAAAAAATGTTTTCTCCAAAATTTGGATAGGACGAGCTGTAGAAATTTCACTACCATCTAGATAAAGCCCTGGTCTATCGATGTGGGAAGTTTGAAGAAAAAACGTGTAGCCATTTTGAAGAAAACGGCGAAAATGTGATTTTTAGCAAAACTCTTATTTTTGAGGTTTATAACGACAATTAGTAAAAAAACATTTATTCAATGAGTTTTTAAGATTTGATGCTGATTTTTCGCAAGGCTCATCCGCAATACTTGAAAGTAGGTATGTGAAAACTTTAAGGCAATCCGTTTCATGGTAATGTTTCTGCAGCGCGATGTTTCATATGCTTCGAATTTTGGATCGAATTTTCAAGCGGCGTCATAACTTTTTTTCTGCCCAAGACTTTACACCCAAACTTATACACAGGCTGCAATAGCACTAGATGATAAGATTCTGAAAACTTCAGAAAAATCGTACTTGAGGATGAGGAGAAAAAGGCCAAAAACTAAAAATAGCACTGTTTGATTTTCGGCCGTAATAGGCTAAATATTTCAAAAATCTTAAAATAAAATACACTGTTAGAATCTAGGATAATCCAAGCACAGTATATGAAAAACACAGTTAAATTGACGTAATAGTTTTGCGAAGGGAGCGAGAATAAAATTGTCCAAAATTCGCTCTGAATTAGTTTGGTTCCACCTTAAAACATGCAATCTATGAGAAGCTTCAACAATATTTAGGAAACATAAACTTAAAACATTGCACGCCACTTTCTATCTTTATCTTTTAATTCCCATAAACAACAGATAAAAAACAATATTTTGTCAAAGTTTGAATGAAACATGATTACTTTTACTTAACGCGAAAAGGGACTTGTCATTATCTTTTATTTGGAGAACAATCCGTTTCACCGCTAGCGAACAATTTAAAAACGCTGGACTTTGGCCTTACTCTCTTGCCAAACTAACTTTGAATGCATTTAGTTCAAACACATTTTTTTGGACTATGAATTTATTATTTTTTGAATTATTTTGTGCGAAGCCTGATTTTTGCCATTTTTCTTTAAAAGGGAAACGACCATGTGAGGAGCGAGCGAAAGGACTTTCTAGATCACGACAAACTAAGTTGAACTTGGCCTTGTATAGTGCAGTTTTGTTGTTGAATCCATATATTTTCTATGACTGAGAAGCTTCATTTTTTAGTAAAATTGTAAAAGTTCTTTAGTAAAAATTTTTAAAAAAGCCAGAATTCACTGACTAAAGTGGTCGCCGAAGAAAGCATTATGATGTCACACCCACCAACCAATCAGCACGGGAGTTAGTTTTAGCCTAATCTAGCAATCCGATAGGACAAAAGATGGACTTCTCTAGTAATTTTCTACTAATTGTCCTGCATAAATAATGGCCGGTGCATGTTTTTCTTTAAATCAGATTTGTTCAAAATGTCCATATTTGAGAGATCTCTTCTACTTGTGATGACAGAAACATGATGGCTAACGAACAGCTATCTGCCATGTATCATTGACAGTAAGTGAACTACTTGATTCATTATCACACGAACCGTATCCAACTGGACTACCACTATTCGAAAAGTGATAGCAACGAAAGCCATAATTTTCGGCACCCATGATTGCAAATGGACAAGTGGAAATGCGCAAACCCCCGTGCCACTTAAATGAACCCCATTTGTTCACCGTAGTAGCTTCTGTTTTATCTTTCCCCCACAATTCACAGTTCTTTGCCAGAATAGAAGTGTCCTCAGGCAACTTATCAAACGAATCACAAGCTTCCGGGAAGTCAACTGTTGCTTCTGGACTGGTAAAGTAACGCACTACATCTTGTCCAGCAGTGTTGTTTTTGGTCATGATACTCACCACTTCACCTACGGATTTCTTGTGACAATAGAAATGAATCTGGTGGAATCCCATCACTTGAAGAATCTCTAGCATGGCTTGTCCAGTTGGGATGTTGTTTTCGCTAATGTTTTGGCCTCCTGCAATAGCTGCGTCAAAGCTGTTCAACGGGTTGTTAAATGGTATTGAAGGAGTCTGTAGATACAACCTTTTCAACTTTGTCCATCCTCCTGTGGAAAAACACCCGAGCATTCTGATATACCCGCAACAACTTAATCATTTTAAGAACAAGTTCAAAGGAATGGCTCTAGTACGTGGGATATAGCTTTACGTGGCGTGGCGTGGCGTGGCGTGGCGTGGCGTGGCGTGGCGTGGCGTAATGTGTGTGCATACATGTGCGAGTACGGTATCGCTCTACTTGCCTCCATCAGTGGTCATGTCACAGAATGCCTTAATCGGATCCCCTGTGTTATTTGGGTCCAACCAATATTCACCCGTGCCATGTGAGTAACCAGTGTTCAAAATGCTCAAACACGATTTGCCCGGTAAATCCTTTGTGCCTTTCCCTGAATAGAGAACAAAACTGAGACGTGACAATAAATAAGGCTGCGCGCGTTCATAATGTATGGCAGAGGGAGGGGGGAAGGCGAAATTTAGGGGAGATCGGAATACCATCCCCCCCCCCCTCCCCCTTATCCCTCTGCCGTACATTATGCCATACATTATGAACGCAGCATAATAGAACCTATTTATATTATAGTGGCATTTCTATTTGCATATAATCAATAGTGTTTAATATTGAAGAGTGAATTTCACTGGACTGGCGCACGTTTATACAATTTACAAACATAAGAGATGGTTATCGTAAAGTGTAGAAACTGAGAGTGGTCATTACCAGGACTTTTTTCATTTCTCATTGGTTCTTTTACGTCCGTCCGATATCGGTTAGTATAATGATAAAGTGTGGAGAAACGGAACCGCCATGTGAGCCCGACTTGAAATTCGAACCATCTTTACATGTACTTTCGAAGACAGCAATTTCCCCTCAGTTATTTTAAAACCCTGTGTGTCAGGCCGGGGACTGAACCAACGATCGCGACCTCCCGCATAACTATCCGATCGGCCCCCAAATGACTGAGCTAATATTCTGAGCTAACCGGGGGTGGGTTGAAAAAGGAGCAAAGATGATACGACGGGTTCTGACGACCTAAGTACAATAAGTCAGTAGTATTCTCGTACGTAGGATCATATACATCTATTTCAAAAAAGGTTGAACACTGAAAACTGCATACTGAAAAGTGCATTCCAAGACCGAAGAGCATTGTGGGTCATAGTGACATTGTCTGAAGTAGGATTAATAATGATTATTTATTCTATTTTTAGTGTATTCCATCTGAAGCAATATACTAACTACGTGTACAGTGTTAATTGCTGGTGTATATTGACTTTGTATTTCAAATTAACGAGACTCACAATGCCCTTTGGAATGCAGTATGCAGTATTCAGTATTCAACCTTTTTTGAAATAGCTGTATATTGAAATGAAAAACCGTATCCACTACATTTTTTAGTTTATGTGGCCGTCTTCAGGGCCCAGTTGTACGAAGGGTGGATAGCGCTACCCGACGGACGGATAAATATTATCCGACCGGTCCTTGCACGAAGATCGCTAACATGGCAGAAAGCTTGGTAATAAATTTTAACTTATGAAGCGTGGTGGGTACGGCTTTTCATTTCGAATGTACAGTAATTCATACTTGGAAGACAATCTTGACCACTTCGCTTGTATCCAGCATGACAGCGACATTTATAGGATCCTACTGTGTTCATACATGTACTGTGTACGGGGCAACTGTCGTGTGCAGTCGTACACTCATCCATATCTGAAACAACAGCAACAAACCAACTTTATAATACTTTAAATAGGCAATGTGCATAAAAGCTCACAAAGCACTCTGAGAAGCCACGTACTGCAAAAATGAAACAGGGAATTCAGAAAGATATCAAAATATGTTCGTCTGTTGAAATACTTTTATTTTAACCGCCACCCGGTTGGCTCAGTTGGTTGAGCATCGGGACTCTATATCCCATAGAACACTCGCGTTCATTATCTAGCCCCTTATATATTAGGTACTTCGTGTACATCAGTTTGAAGCTGGAAGAGCATAAATCCTTACCAATTTCACAGCTTGCACCAGTAAAGCCACTTGGACACAGACAGTTGAATCCTCCCTCGTGTGTAAATTTAGCTTGACAGGTCGCATTGGCAGTACACGGCTTGCTTTGACAACCATTCTGTAACAAATAAATGCGATAAAGGAAGATTGTTCTTTACATTGCAACCTTGTCTGCAAGCTTTTTTTTTTTTTTTTT